GGCGCCACCGGTCGAAAAAATAGTGGTATTCCGCGATTTAATGCGATTTTAACAATGTTCTGGTCGTTTATTGTTACTGTTAATGACAGCCGATTAATCTACGTTCTTTAAGCTACAAATCGAATGCTTGGTCAAGACGAAAGTTGTCAGGATAATGTTGTATGACTTGTCTAAAGTGAACTAACCGGGGTACGCATGACGAGATACAGTGTCAACCGTTGCAAATAAATGTGATTTTAACAATGTTCTTGTTATTAGTGTTACCCAGCCGCTAGAATGTACTAATGTACGTTCTTTAAACTTTAAATCTAATGCGTGACGAGGAAAAATAATGCCCGTTCAGCGGTGTAAATGCGATCAAATTCTGTTACAATTAGGGTTGCCGCTCCGTGAGGTAGCTGCGGTATTGCAGGCATAATTAATTTTACTAATTCTGGGGTTCTGCACTATTGGGTCCATGCATTAAGTCCTGAGGAACAATTTGAGACTAATGATGTTCATTTTGAACGCTTAATTACTGAGATATTCGCATTTTTCTAGCATTAGGAATTTTCACTCACCTGTCGGTATCAACGTGATCGGTCTTCGAGACTTCTTTTCTTCAACCTCGTACTACTATTTACGCATTTCTGATTCCATTTACAATCTTTTACGGTACATTTCGAGCTAATCGCAGGTATACGTAAAAGAAAGGGTCGTACGGAATATCATAGCCATAGGTTTATTGTTATCGGTTATTTATATTCATTTATATCTACATATGTACATCATGCTATCGTTGAAATTGTTCCCGCTGATAATATTCTATTTAATCGATGATATTGTTGAATGGTGACCAATGGCATAAAAATGAATCACGGATGAAAGACCAGCATTTGCACATGCATAAATTAATGGATCGGCAAATATTTTGAAGAAATAAATCATTAGATTACATAATAGTGAAGAAATTTGTAATTTCACTACATACACACATCCGAAGAGGATGCATCCGTTAGCTTAAATAACTTATTGAAGACAGTCTTGTAATTAAAGTTAATTTTAGTACGAATTATTCACAAGTTCTGTAAGTGCTGTTACTCATATATTTTGTTGAAGTAGAATTTTATAGTATTCATAAAGATCTCACCATTATTTGAAAGTATTCTTTTTACTATGACTGTTTCTTGGTTATATTTCTGCCTGAGATCAACTACCTGTTGATCTAATTTTGTATTAGATGCTCACAATTCGACAATAAGGAAATACATTTGTGCTTATTGGTTGTTCCAGGCTAATAATTTTAAATGCAACATTCACAAAGATCAATGAGTGTCAATTAATATCAATCAATTGGAAGTTAACTACTTTTCATGAAAAGACCACAGTGAATATGTGTGTTGCTGGGCTAATACAGTAGTTATAAGATGTATCTTCCTTATTTCAAATTACAATCTACATTTCTGGTTGGATTTGGGATTGGTTTTATCTTGGCAATACTTACATTCATTGTTCATGATGCATTTAATGGTACATCATCCACTTTTGAAAATTCATTGTCAAACACTAATGATGCTCGGAGGAACAGTCTTCTCAAGTGGCTCACATCTGATACACGAAACAACGAAGAGATTATTATGCAAGTTTGGAAGGATCAAATGTTGGGAAACAAGTCTACATATGGCCAATGGTTAACAGATAAGAATGTGAGAACAAATAATATTGATATGGACTTTTATCTTTATGGTTCCACAAGAGAGCAAGAATTGGAATCTGATTGGCTAGGCTCTAATGTTCAACTGACTTGTGTCGTTTTTGTGAAGAAAGTAAAGCTGGCAAAGTCTATCTGGAACACATGGGGAAAACGCTGTAACAATATATATTTCTTTGGCCAAGAGAAAGACCCTGAAGTGCCGATCATAAATTTAGAACTTAAGCTCGTATCTTCGTGGCAGCTTCTGTGCGAAGCGTTTAATTATGTTTGGAGAGACAACAAAACAATGGACTGGCTTGTTTTTTCAAAAGATGATACATTGGTTGTTCCCGAGAACCTGAGGTACATGCTTGCTCCGTTGAATCATACACGGGATTATTATTTAGGTCATGCGGTTGTGTTATGGGGGCAGCCTTACAATGTTGCTGATGCAGGATACGTGATAAGCATGGCTGTTCTTGGAAAACTGGCTAATATGTTTGGTAATTCCGAAAAGTGTATAACCGGTGGCAAATATTGGAAACAAGAGGATTACTATCTTGGTACATTCCATGACATTCTTCAGTCGATTTGTAGAAATAAATGAAACTAATTTGAAACTATATGTGTTAATAATTTTCAGCTAAACATTTGGCATCAATGGGAATTTTTCCTTCTGACACCAGAGACCAGTACTTACGGGGTACATTCCACGGATATTCTTTGCAATCTTTGTTATGGGGCGTTGTTAAGACTGGCAGCTATTGGACTCGTGCTCTATATCCGATACAGAATGAATGTTGTTCTCTTATGTCTGTTACTTTCAATGTTGGAGAACCTGACAAAATGTACACCTTGGATTATTTATTACATCACTTATATATCATTAAGAAGGAAGCTGTTTTTGGAACTAGAAGAGCACCAACAGCTGTACCCGATGAAGATGTAGGTTTATAATACGAGAATTTCTCGTTTTCTAATATATTTTCATGAAAGTGTCTCAACGGGTAATTATTGATTACAGGTATGGAAGATTGCACTGAAGGAAGAATTTAACATCACACATTTGAAAAATATTTCCAAAGACGCTTATTACGAGATTTGGCATTCTAAATACTCTGAACCTGGGCAGCTAATGACAAAGAATGATCAACGTAAAGGTTTAGATAAACCGAATTGACTGTTGCACTACAATTTTTTATGAAGTTTCATGATACCTCATTAAGGTATTTAGGATCAATTAAAACGATTATATACCTCATCCAAGATAATAGGTAGCTATATCGCTTACACTTTTTAACATGATTAATATAAGAATGTTGTCCATATAATATAGTTTAACGATTGTTGCAATTACTGTTCGTATATTAGTTGTGCAGAATTCGCAATTTCTTACCGAACAATAGTGTTTTACGTAGAAAATGATTCATATATTTTTCTCGGCGCGTACGTGTTGCGTTTGTAATATTAATAAGTCTCGATGATATGAATGTGGGAACAATGGAATGGTGCTCTTTGATAAGTATTTCCCTTGTTACACTAATGCTGCCTTATCTAACTAATTAAGACCTTATTAACGCTCGTAGTGACCGTGATAATCAAATCACATTTCCAGACTGAAATATGTGTCAAGAATGTGGAACGATTTTTCTCTAACGCGTTTAATTCAAGAGACCAGTTTTCTGATAATAGGGAGATGCGCGTAATACCCAGTGATTAAAAGCATATACACTTTGTATACAAATATTTCTATTTAATATAATCCAGTTCATGGCAATAAATTATATAATTTTTCAGAACCACGAACACTCATTTCACCCACTGACCCTATCTGAATTTAACGCTTATTAATGACCCATTTTTTTTTCTTCGAATCCGCTTATCAAGCAGGACTTTATTTATCAGTTATCCACTTCCTTTTACCGCCTATATAATAGAAGAAGTGCATTAATTCGTGTAAACGAAGAGGAGCGAGCCTTTCAACGTGTTTCGCTGTATTGCTCTGAAAATTACATAAATGCCTATGCATTTACCATGGTGTTGTGGAACGTATTCTTTAAAATTGCAATAACTGTCGTTATTGCAAGCCAGTTAACTGGTGGAAATTCTACAGAGGAATCTCTCAACACAGACGAGTAAGTGATGTTACTTTATTCTCTCCAAATAAGCTGCCAAGAGTCGTTAAATGTAAATGTTATGATGTAGTACAAGCATTCCATTGGACGATGCACCAAGTCTAGATTACAGCGTGAAGAAGACCAAGGGCGGCAGAAGACGTCAGTATGCAGGAGGATGCACCAAAGAACCTGATCCACCTGTGAATGGTAAAATAAGATGTTCGAGGGACAGGTGAATATCAAGGAATAATATCATTGTTCAACGTACCAAAATATTAAATTTCTATGTTATTTAATTTACAGTGGATGTATCGCAACCTGCTTTGAAAATTACAAATTTCCTAACGGTGTCACCCAGCTGGCTATAACTTGTAGTTACAAAGGATGGCACATCTTCGGCACAGACTGGAATTCTGTGCCCCACTGTGAACGTGAGACATTCCAAGATAATCTAATTTTTTTTCATTTCCATAGAGGACAATATTTCACAGGAAATTTAATAATATATATATATTTTTAGCAATCTGCATGCCAAAATGTTTGAATAACGGAATGTGTATTGCACCCCATCAGTGCAACTGTCCTGCAGACTTCACTGGACCGCAGTGTCAATTTGAGAACAAACCATGCATGGAGTATCCTCCTCCGGTGCTTAATTCTCATAAGCTGTGTAACTCAAAGTATGCTACTCGAAGAATACTAAAGTCCGTACGATTAGAAGTAAGTCAACTGTACGCTGTCTTCTTTTCTATAGGTCGTGTACGATATCCTGCCTGAAGAATTTCACATTTCCTGACGGCACATCTATTACCAATCTGATTTGTAACAATGGCGACTGGGTACCAACTAGACATGATTGGGTCTCTGTGCCTGACTGTGAACGTAGGTACTATGACACCTGAACTGTAACCCTTGACGTACGAGTACTCAATGAATATATTTTTTTCATGATAGCTGTATGCGATCCACCTTGCCAGAACGGGGGTAATTGTCTGCCATCGAACCTCTGTCAGTGTCCACAAGCATACCGTGGACCGCAGTGTCAATATTGTAAGTATAATAAACTTATATTTACAGAAACACTGATTTTCTGTACTCTATTACTGAACGAATAATATGTCCACACAGCTGCTGATGCTTGCAACGGAGAAAAAATGGGGTTCAATGGTGGCTTCTATTGCACCAGCGACGAGCTTGGTTACTCTTGCATCCTGAATTGTCCTGACGGAGTGGAATTCGAGTTTCCTCCAGTGAACGAATACAAATGCTCGTATGAAACTGGTACCTTTGAACCGCAACCAATACCTCAGTGCAAGTACAACGAAAATCTCAATATAATCTCTCTGGGCACTACATATAATTCCTATGTCAAGGAAACTAATCATACCTGGACGTACCAAGATACTTTTGGGTCCGACACCAAACAGGCTAAAACCAGCTATGACCTTTACAACAATATGACAACGAAAACGGTAATACTTTCAGACAAGCTTGAGCGTTTTATGTGTCTAACATTTAATAATGTGTCTTCATTAGACAATGCACGGTTCACTGAAAGACAACCAGCTGTTTATCGAAGACAGACATCCGGTTCCAAAAACCTGCTTCACCTGGGGCGGAGTGCATTACAAGACCTTCGACGACCAGGTTTTCAGCTTTAGTAGTGACTGTTCCCACGTAATGGTTCAAGAAGCGCAAAATAGACTGTTCACCGTAATAGTGGAGAACAGTCCATCGTGCAGGACTCAAGATTGCTTCAGGATCATAAAGATTTACATTCAGGACAAGGAGTATATCCTGTCGAAGAATGAATTTGGTATCCCAGAATTTAGAACCTCAAAGAAATTGCTACCGATTCCAGCACAACTGCCAGCTGTCAGGGTTGAAATGTCTGCGCATTTCATTGTGGTGACTTTGGACTCTTTGGGGATCCAGTTGAAGTGGGACGGAGCCCTAATGCTGCAAGTCGAAGCTCTTGAGAACATGTGGAACAAAACTGTTGGCCTTTGTGGCAACATGAACGGTGACAAGGGTGATGATCTCATCAGCAAACATGGGGAACGTGCGAGAAGCATTGAAGCGTTTGCATCTTCTTGGAGAACGGAGAACATTGGAGGTATTACTTTGCACCTGAATCTGTAACCGAAGAAATGGCACCTGATACTTAATTCTTAATCTCTTTTTGCTAATAATCTCGCAAATAATCTTTGCAAATAATCTTCGCTTTGCAGAAATGTGTGACGAATATCCAAACACCAAGCACTCTTGCGATTCGAATCCATTTATTTCCAGCGAAGCCGTCGACTTTTGTACTGACTTGCTGTCGGACCACAGGTTTCAAGCTTGTGCCAATACCATTAGCCTCACCGAATTAGGAAGGTCATGTTTGTGGGATTATTGTGCATGTATGAACGACGACAGGCGAAAGTGTGCCTGTGACACGATGAACGTTTATGTCAGACAGTGCGCCCATAAGAAAGTAGTGTCATCGCTTGGTTGGAGGAACAATCAGACATGTCGTAAGTGTTCACTAGCTGAGATGCAAGTATTGATGAGAAAATGGTTGCTAATGTTTCACTGACTTGCGTTGCAGCTATGCTTTGTAACAACGGACGAGTCTACATGCGTTGTGGCCCAAGAACAGAACCATCTTGTTGGACCGAAGTGGAAGGAAAGCAGAATGGGGACAACTGCGAAGAGGGTTGTTTCTGTCCAGAGGGGACTGTGACCCACGAAGGAAGATGCATATACCCTGAGGAATGTCCTTGCAGGTTACGTGGAAAGCTGTTCCAGCCTGGCAAGAGTGTGAAGAAAGATTGCAACACGTGTACATGTGCTTCTGGGAAGTGGATATGTACCCAGGCTAAATGTAGCGCTAGATGCGCTGTTATTGGGGATCCTCACTACACAACCTTCGATGGCAGACACTACGATTTCATGGGAAAATGCAAGTACTATTTAATGAAGGGTGACGATTACACCATAGAGGGTGAAAATGTTCCCTGTTCCGGCGCAATATCAGAGGTCTGTGGTTAATACTACTAATAATGTCAGTTGTTTCTTTCGTATGAATGAGGGGTGTTTATTTGATTGCAGAGTATGGGATTCGTTCTACCTGATGCTCCATCCTGTACGAAAACGGTAACGATCAATTACAAAGAAACGTCTGTCAAGCTGAAGCAAAACCGTCAGGTGCTGATTAATGGGGACGATTTAACAACGTTTCCTATTGTCATCAATCAGATCCGAATACGCATTGTCAGCAGTATATTTGTAGTTGTTCACTTGCCAAACGGTTTGGAAATATGGTGGGATGGGATCTCACGCGTTTACATCAATGCTCCTCCAGAATTTCATGGTTCGATACTTTTCAAACCCTTGAAATGAATACACGAGCAAAAATCTTATTTCATTTCTTTTGTAATTATTAGGCAGGACTAAGGGACTCTGTGGCACATTCTCGGAGAACCAAAAGGACGACTTCATTACGCCAGAAGGTGATATCGAACAGACAGCAGTCTGTTTCGCTAATAAATGGAAGACAGATGAAATCTGTGCCAATGTTCCCGAAAAGGAATCGGATCATCCTTGTGATTTAGATCCGCAGAAACGAGCGACTGCGAAACAATACTGTTCTTACTTGTATACTGAAATATTTGCTGGTAATATCTAGATGTCTTGACAGTTTTCAATATAATATAGGGTACTTATAGTTCTTCCTTTCAGGCTGCCACTGGCATGTGGATCCAGAATCATTTCACAAAGATTGCATGTACGACATGTGCTCCTGCAAAGTGGAGCTAGGGCTATGCCTGTGTCCCATATTAGCAGCGTACGCAAAAGACTGTGCTGCTGCTGGAGTGAAAATCTTGTGGCGGCAGGATGTCAACGAATGCAGAATACACTGTCCTGGAAGCCAGGTGTACCAGATTTGTGGAAACAGTTGCACAAGATCCTGCAGTGATATATCCTCCTACCAGGACTGCCAACAAGATTGCGTCGAAGGGTGCAATTGTCCAGAAGGTCAAACGTTGGATGTCCACGGAGAGTGTGTACCAATTGG